ACGACAGGGGCTGAAATGAACCATAACATCGGGGTAACCCCCTACTCTTCCGAAAGATGCAATGGGTTCTTTAAAGTGTACACAAGCCAGATGTATACTAGGCCTCCATAGTCCTAATCTGAACAGCCTTGCTACTACCAACCGAACCCTGGGTGAGGAGCGGCTGGAACTAGCGCCGATGTTACAGGATGTCGCTAGCGACGTCTCTGGCTAACCGCTTGGCCACTTGACTCGTCATTATCATCACCACCAGCATCATCATTATCCGAATCACCATCCTCTCACTAATCATAATCATCATCATATTGTTTTAAGGCTTGCATGGCGAAGTAATAATATATATTTATGCTTGCGGTACACCACGTAGATAGAACTGTTGTTGTTGGTTGAGAATATCTGAACGTTTCGATTGAGTTGCTTCAATTGTCTTTATCAGTATCGTGTTCATCATTATCATCATCTTCAGCATTATCTCTATCATTATCTCCACAATCAATGTCATTATCACTATTATTTAAGTTGATTTCATGCCTATGTTACCATCTCTTCATATCTTCTCAAAAAACATTTACTTAAAAATGTATCGATACTCAAATGATAACTGTAAAATGCTAATAAAATACAATATAAATTAGTCTTACTATCCCAAAACCAGCATCAATGACCAAAAAATGAAAATTGACTTTAAAACCTTTGATGATGGGTCATTTACTGGAATTGACTTACTATTGCAAAAGTTGACTAAAAGTATTACAGCTTCTGTGTACTAAAGTATATTAATAATGCCACATTTTGTATGCTAATTACTCAATTCCAACTTCATTTTGATTTATTTATTGCTGCAAATACCATCAAGGGCCAATATCTGCGCAACAAAAAATCATGACAAAAAACAAGTGAAAAATTAAAAATACTGTCTACAAAGAATTTAATATAATAGTGACAGTATGCTGGATTTGGGATGGCAATCCTCAAATATTGATTTAATTTAAAAACTTTTAAATCTAACTACAATGAACATATAAATATAAATCTATTATAAACAAAAAGATCGACACCACTTGTAGTAAAATGAACAAGAACTGTATATTACACTTTGCTAAAGTGAGTTTATCGAGCAAACTGCTCACTTCCATTGTATGCACGTATCACGGACATTGCAAAAACATGTTTCATCACCACCAGATGGTAATCTGGGCTTAGCAAAGAGACAGAAATGCAAAACACGTTGTTCTCTGACGTCTGTCTCAGCTAACGTGATCATATACTTATGCAAATGGTATTCTGTACAGGTTTTGTAGCTTCAAAATTTGCAATAGAGAAGGCTTCTATAATATGTTTCTATCAGAAATTGTATTTTTAAGAGATAAGATTCACAAATTCAAGTCATGTCGTATCATTATTATCTGTAAATCAATGTCATTTGATGTGTGATATCTTTATATGAGGTAAGCAGTAGATTAAGATATCATTGTTATTTCTGTATGTTCATATTAACATTTATAACGTAAACATAAGTATTTTGATAATAGTTATTTCAAAAAACATCTTCCTACAAATATTGTATACTCAGGCCACATGGGGTTATTGGTGACATAATTATGAGTATATTCCTAGAAAACCATAATATATATAGATAACAAATTATTTTTTGTGTAAAATACTACTAAGAAACAGAGTATTTACACAAAAAATATGAAAAGGGAAAAAAATGAAAAAGGTGGTAGGGGAAAGAAAAAAAAAAGGGGGAAAAATTGTCATCTAGACAATAACCATCTAAATAAAATTCTTTGAAAAATTTAATATTTTTGAAACCGAGTTATCAAAACCAGCAATTATCTGACAGTGGGGGGAAAAAATCTGACACTTTTGTAAAGTATATTTGCAATAAGATAGGGTTTAATGGACTGTGGGTTTAAGTTTATTTATTGGTAGGCATCAGTTAACTGTATTTGATATCCTGTTAGTATTAATAAAACCGAGGATCCACTAACTTAAAAATTTATTATTTAAAAAAAAATTATTATTTATTCATTGTAAAATGAACTTTATAAATACAAATGATTTAAATTCAATTTAATTCATTCAGAATACATCCGAAACGGAGAAGTAAAATAGTACAATTACTTTAAAACAACAGAACAAATTCATTAAAACAGACAATTTCATTAAATCAAGTCAGTTTCATTACATATACCAGAACAGTTGAAATAAAAACCAAGGAAAAAATTACAATTTCTCAAAATGCAAAATTCAGTGAGATCAATAAAGGAGAGAACAGAACGCCACTTTAACAGATACAAGCAAAACTACAAACTATGAAAATTACTCTTGGGATTGTTGTAATAGCCATTCTTTGTTTTCAATTGAAAATCCGTAACAACCTTTTTTTGTATGTATTTATATATAGAACAATAGTTTCTTATATATATTATCTATATTTCATCCTCTACTGGTTAGAGGATAATTATCAAATTGAATTTGAAATAAAATAAAAACATATTTAAGCTGCTGATGTTTTTATTCATATTTTCATATTTATGTATTTTATTATCCACTGGTTAGGTGGATACATAAATGTGTTTTGTGTTTTGCAGGTGATTGTATCAATAAATAATAGTAGATTTAAGCTACGAATGTTTCATATTTTCATATCTATGTATATTTAAAAAAAATTTTAATTACAAATTTATTGAGAGGAATTGATTTATTATCATAATGTTCAGGATGTCTAGGATTCAAAATAACTTTATTTTAAATTGAAGGAAAATTTGAAATGTACAGAATATTTAAACATTTATTTTTAATAATTAAAAATGTTTAAAATATTTTAAATATTCCAGTAAAATTAGTTGAAATAAGAAAGCAGGACGATGCATTACAACATTAGAATACAAAAAGGAAATGTACAAAACTTGAAAAACAATAACAATCAAAAAGGGCATAATTAAGGGAGACATACAAATGAACAATTACACTGAGTACTTTGAATAAAGAATAAAGCCTACAGGATATTTCTTCCTTTTTTTAGTTGGGGTGGGGGGTGGGGAGCTAATTTCACAAATAGAATTATTGAAGGAATAATAGAACACCAAATAATAAAGAATGTATAAATCATAAATGATTCAACCTAAAATAATCAAAGATATGAAAAATATCAACTGTGATAAGCTGGCATTAGCACAAATCAATAAGCTCTCTATGTGAGATATTTAAGATTGATTAAAACACATGCTCCAAAAATAGGCAAGTAACAATAATAAAAAAAGAAAAAAAATGAAGGACACAAAGGGAAACATGCTAAGGTTTCATTTTTAAATTGTTTACTTTGTAATATTTATTTTTATTTAAATTGAAAGGTACATTGAGAAAATGTTTTTTTTTCAAAATAAATGTATAAATATAAGCATGGTGATAGACTATGATGCCAACCATTAGAATTAGGGACTGATTGAGCACAAACAAATATTTGAGTCTTTCTTTTAATTCTTCAGTCTTCTTAAATGTCTTGAACGGTTACATAATATTCTTACTTTTTGAATTTGGCTACAATTTTTACTAAAAGAACAATATATTTTATATATAATGATCATTGGTACTATTTTAGCTATTTGTATATATATACTACAAAATACAAAGAATAGAGTGCATTGTGATAAAAATTATACAATACAAGCTGTTCTCTTTCTTTGAACTTTAAATAAATAATGAGTTATTATGAAATGTAAATTGTTCTAATTGGTATATTGACCCTATGTAACTATTTCTAAAGGAGTTTTGTTACATCATGGATTTCAGAAATCACTAAAACTATCCAGAGAGTTGGCTACTCACGGAGTATTACCATTCGATTTTGTGGGAAACAAAATTCAGTTTCCACGTAGTGCCCCTAACGTGTCAGTGTGTAAACTCATGAGAATTGTGTTATTACTGCATTGCTCTGTCACTTTGGAAATTAAATTTTATGTCCTATCAATTTATTAAGTGATTTTCATCCAACTTTAAGCCACTTGAGAATAAACTTTTAATTGTTAATTAATATAGTATATTTCCTTCGTTATTTGCTAGGCTTCGGTTCATCAAAATCCTTATAGAATGCTGTTTATTAGACTCTGAGGATTAAGCAAACCAGAGCTGGTTCTACAGACTAAAATGGAGAAAATATTATGCGGTAGATTGGCTGGGTGCCCGTCACCCCCTTCACGGGTCGTCAGGATGATTATAAGCTGTACCAAATCAGGTAAACTATTTTTTCTCACTTATTTTCAAGTTTTAAAAAATGTAATTCTGTCTTTCAAGTGATACACTTTTTGTAATGAAGTACATTTTACTGGTGGGTCATACACACAATAAAAAAATTAATATCGTAAATATAAATCACATTAAGAGTAAGTAAATGAAAAAATATAAAAAAAAGAACCATGATTTAATTTGGGTAAATTCAGGAGAACATAACAACCTAGGAGAAAATAACATAATCACTATTTTTTTTTAATTAATTGAAAAAACTCATTGAAATTTTGTTTTGAGAGTTCATTACTTAGATGCAATTGATGGTTTAAGTGCAAAGTTTCTATTTAAATGTTAATCATAGGCCAAAGAATAACCTAAATTTTCATGAACCATGAAGTTCCTATTTGCTATTAACCTATCTTTCATCCTGTATAATGTAGATATATACAAGGTTTAAAAGGTAGATATTGCAAATGTACTGAACATTAATATCAAAAAGAGATGTCTGTTCGATTTAAAAGCAAATATTTAGTCTAGTTTAATTTCCAAGCTTAATTAACAGATGTTGTAAAATATAGACAGATATGCATTTAATACCTGATTAGGGTTTAAAAAATGAATATTACAAGAACGGTGTGATCATTTGCAAGTTCTCGAAATTGAAGGCGATATCAGTGGATTTGAGGCCAAATGTCAATTGAAGTTTATTGAAATTAAACATGAGCATTCATTTAAAAAAAAAAATTATTGATTAATGCATGATTGATTCAGTATCAGTTTTGTAGTACTATGTGGTGTAGCATGCATGGCATTTGGCTTTCAATCAGAAGGTCTTTGGTTCGAGACCAGCAGTAGTCCAATGCTTGTGTCTTTGGGTAAGATGCCATATCGTTTGCCTCTCTTCTCCAAGAAGTACAAATGGTTACTTGGTCGGAGGTGAATGATCTGTAATAAAATTGAACACGCTGTACAATCATTACTCCCCAGGAATGGAGGAAGTTGCGCAATGCATATAATTTATAATGAAGACAGCAGCTTAGGTCAGTCAGCTAAGCTGAATCGTAGAGGTCTCTAGTTCCCCGGTTCAAATCACTGCCTCTCCTTGTGTTTCAGCTGGAGGGCTGAAATACAAGTCACAATAGCACACTGTGTTTCGGATGAGACGTTTTAGCCGTTGGTTCCATGTGCATTTATGGACCATGTGCACGTTAAAGAACGCAGTACACTCTTCGGAAAAGAGTAGGGGATTGTCTGTCAATGTACATCCTAATCACCACCAGAAGGACCCCACTGGAAATAAGTCTTCTTCTAGACTTTCGTGGGCTATCCTTGGTGTTTACACTGAGTAAATCCAATCCAATATATGAATAGGGAAAAAGCATTTGGTGTTTGAAAAGTACAGTGCTATATTTACACATTGATGAATTTTGTGAATAAAAATATGATTTATAAAGCACACAGCAAGCCATGCTGAAACTGCTAGCGAAAACCCAACAAACCCATAAAAGTAATTACAGTAAACCTTCAAACCAATAAGTAGATGGATAATTAATACAAAATTGTAAATAATACTGTAATGATAATAGTATTTGAAATTTTAAAATTATTTATAGATAAAAATGTATTTTTTAAATGTTTCAAACCAAATTTTTGGATAATATATCTCTTTGCAGTTGTTTTATTACTACTATTTTATCATATTGTTATGCAACTGATTATGTTCATTTATTATTATTCATTATTTAAAAAAAAGTAAAATCTAGAATCTAATCTGGTTTCTTCTAAACCAGAACATAACTTTTTATCTTCTCATTTTCTTAATTGTGATTGTATAATTTTGAAATGCATTTAAGTTTTCTTAATTACAATTGGATAAGTTTAAAATACCCATTTATTTTTTGTAATTACAATTTGATAAATTTTAAGTACTCTTTGATTTGCTTAATTATGATTGGATACATCTGAAATAAATACCCTTTGGTTTTCTTAATTATGATTGGATAAAATTGAAATACTCTTTCGTTTTCTTAATTACGATTGGATAAATTTGAAATAGCCTTTGGTTTTCTTAATTATGATTGGATACATCTGAAATACCATTTGGTTTTCTTAATTATGATTGGATAAATTTGAAATACCCTTTGGAAGACGAAGACTCATTAAACAGTCTCCTGCATATCCTCAGAGAAACAAGAAATAATCCTTTGCAGATTCTATCCAAATACTAAAGGATCTTGAAATTATGTTTCAGCATGTTTGGGATTTATTGGCAAATGTATATGCCATGATGATTTTGTTCACATAAAATAACATTAGATAAATTTCCATAGTATCTTTTTTGTTTGTAAAATCACAAATAACATAACATATTAAAACTTGTGAGGGTTTAGGAAACTTCCAAATTTACCAAATTTTCAATTGTTGAACCAGGTTATGCAAATCCTTTCTTATATCTATTAATTACTGCTTCAGGGATTTTTTTTAACAAGATTAACAGTGAAGCTAATTAGTTGTTAGTAGTTAATTAAAACACCAGCACAATTAAATAAAAACTATATTTTAACTTCTAACACAAATCATTGATTTGTGAAATTCAAAAACATATCTAGTATGATTTTTAACTTAAATTACAGCTAAGGTAATAAAAATGCCTAGCATTTATGAACCACAGGTTTTTAAAATTTTCCAGCCTGGTTTTTAAATACTATACTGGTAATTTATTAAAAAATAGCAATGCCTGCTGCGATAATGACTTTTAAGTAGAGATATTCTTCTTTGATGTTTTGGATTAGTAATAATAATATTTATTCGGAAATCGCTTTTGAAACAGTGGCACCCATCACTTTAATGGTGCATCCATACACATCAATTAATCAAAAGGCATAAATATACACTATATGATTAGGTGAATACCTTAATATATAAAAGTAAACAAGTAGTTATTTGGTCAAAGAGAAAACTGTAGGGGTGTAGCTGTTAACAAGTAACTTATCTTATTGAGACTGGCAAAACCTGGTTCACCAACCCGACAAAATGCCCTTTTAGAGGGTTTGCTGGTAAATGGGATAGTAACAGCATGGAGGTATCATGCCTACATAATTTTCTTTTCTCTTTGATAATCATGCTGGGATTTCAACTCTCCCGGAAGTCGGAGTACCTGAAATCAAAACGACCTCTCGCACTCATGCAAGCAAGCAAGAATCTCCCGGAAAATAACCAATTTCCACAAATTCATAATATTTGCATGTTTTCACTACTTTATTATCAATTGTCAGTGCCAATGGGTATCACCATTCACAGCAAAATAACATTAAATATGTAAAGAAAGTTCATTTAACCAGATCTCACGCAAGGAATTTCTTCTAACTTGGGACCCCTGATGGATGGTTCATCTAGCACAACTGATATATTTAGTGCCTGGTTGCTATACTGAAACTTGTGAGACTTGGTTGGAGAGTGGAAATTCGGTCATTGGAAGACCCTTAATTAGTGCGCTAAGGGGAGGTAATCACGTGGGACCATTGATGCTGTTTAAAGCCGGGTACTCATTGTGCCCAACAATCATTAGTCTACCTGATTCTATGGGCAATGCAACGTCACGATGCGCATTCAGACCGCCAAATACAATCAGCAGTGTTGCATCGTCTAGTGCTTACATGAAGCTGAGTCAGAGTCAACGGCCGATGGTCATACGATGGTCGCACTTCCTTTATGAGCCTTGAGAAGTGGGAGCTGTATAACCTGGAGTGCTGATCAATTGGTACATTTGATGCTATGACCAAGTCCTTTTATGAGGCTTTTGGGAAAAGAGATTTGATCATTTTGGACCATTAACACGCTATAACTAAGTCTCCTTACGATGCTTGCGGAGAGTAGAGCTGATAATTTGGGACTCAAAATGCAATAGTCACTTTACAGTATGAGGCCTGGGGAACAGAGTATTGATCCTGATTTTTAATAAGGATTTGAACCCGGGACCTTAAAATTAAAAGGTCACAGCTACACTCTTTACTTTTTTAAAAATGCTTTCATATATTTTAGGTGCGTCATCATGATGATCTTCTTGATCATTTGCTGACTTACTGACTGGTTACATCTATATTGATCAGATAATCCCACCCATTTCTACTGTGTCAGTGGCCAACCCACTTGGCTGCCTTTATATTAATATGCATTCTGTGATCACCAAAGTGAACTAATTTGATATTGAATTTAGTGTCATACATACAAATTGATACATTATAGAATTTAGTGTACTTTCACTTTACTTCCGTATGGGAGAAAGAGATTTTAAAGTTTAAACATAAAATTACTCAAGATTTGTAAGCAAGTAAATCCTTGCCAAGCCACTAGAGCCCATAGAGCTGAAGCTTATCCCCGTTTTCAAGTAACGTGAAGCGGATGAGAGTGAGATGCTCCCCCCCTGTGTTGGAAGCTGGTCAACCGCAGGTTATTCCCTGCAATTTGCTGATACCCATTGATACAGCTGGGTAGGCTGAAGCAATGTAGATAAAGTGCCTTGCTCAGGGACACAAGCGAAATTCACAGCACAGAATTGAAACCCCGACCTCAAGGCTGGGGAACCAAACAGTTTCCACTGTTGCAAACCACCTCCACACTGAAGATTTGTGGTTATACAAAAAAGATTCTAGTAAATTTATTTACTGTAATAGTTCCCCGGCTTTGAATCAATTCTCTGTTTTAAATAAATTATTTTGGACTACACCAGCTTTTGGTTGGGATGAAGCATTTATGAGGCGGATAAATGCTGTAAAGTATCCAGATTTAGATATATATCATCCTGTATTAGCTAATTTATTTTAAACATCAACAATTACCATCCTTGCTTTAAATTTTAAACCTAGTTAATATTTTTGTGGAGGAGTTTTTCTTTTGATAACGTGACAACACAATGTTATAACATGCAAGAAGAAGAGGAAGGGAGGAGACGTGGGCTGGCTCTAGTGAAAAACAACATCTCTACAGTATTGGCACTAAGTAATGCTT